CTGCTGTCCCTCTGCGGGCTCCCCACCTCCCACCCATTTGTGCGTGCGAGTGGCCGTTTTCCTCCCACATGTGACGTGAACGGTGAGGCTCTGTTCGGGGTGCTTGCCTCACCGTGGCCCTTTCGCCACTGCCCTCCCATGGGTTGTTGAAAGTGAATACTCGGAGAGGGCGCTTCACCCTGTCTCTCCCCGCTGTTCTGCCACAATAATCAGCCATCATGCCATTCACCTGCTGCTCATTATCTCCTGGTCCTGCCTTATACATATACACCTTGTTTTCCACTCAGTCGCTGCTGGTTCATTGACGATTACAGGTCCTGACATGCACACCCTGATCTTTGCCACGCTCCTGCCATTTCTACCAGATTTCTCTGCTGTTTACGCTGACTCACTCCGAGTTTCCTCCTTGTGTGATCCTACGTTTCCCGGTTGGTTTTCTGTTTTGTTGCTTACTCTGCTTACCCGACGGCTACTGCTACTCTGCTTACCTGACTGCCTGCTGCTTGACGCCTCCCAGTCCTCTGGGTCCTGCGTCCCTCCTGTCATCTCACCTGCTGCCGGCTCACCTGCCCATCCTCTGGTTCCAGTGTCCCTCTTGTCATCTCACCTGCCCGTCCTCTGGTTCCTGTGTCCCTCCTGTCGTCTTACCTGCCCGTTCTCTGGTTCCAGTGTCCCTCCTGTCGTCTCACCTGCTGCCGGCTCACCTGCCCGTCCTCCTGGTTCCTCGCCTTACCTGTCCTCTGTTGCTCAGTGCACCTTCTGCCAGCCCTGAGCCTGCTAGACTTCCTGCCACTCAGCATAACCTGTTAATTATTTAATAAACTGCTTTCTATAGTTCCTACTCTAGTTTCTGAGTCTGCATCTGGGGTCCACACCACACACCCATCATAACAGAAAGAGCTGCTGACAAAAAAGCGATCTTCGTGGTTCTGCCTGGTCAGGAGTATGAGGGCTTCTACTCATGCTACTTCCTGGTCCCCAAGAAGACAGGCAAAATGAGACCCATCCTGGACTTGTCTCTCTTCAACAAATACATAGTGAAAAGGCTGTTTCACATGCTCACCATAAAGCAGATGTTGGAGTGTGTATGTCTGGGCGGCTGGTTCACATCCATGGATCTAGAAGACACTTACTTTCATGTGCCCATCATTCCCAAACACAGGAAATTCCTGCACTTCTCCTTCCGGGGTGCACGGTTCCAATACAACCGGCTACCCTTTGGTTATTCTCTGGCCTGCCCCGCACATTCTCCAAATGCATGGAGATGGTGCAGGAAGGGAATCAGAGTCCTTTTTTATCTGGACGATCTGATTCTGATCACGCTCCCCAGACAGCAGGCTGCGCCTTACACGGTGGAGCTGTTCCAACACCTGACCCAGTTGAGCTGGGTTTTGCAACTGGAAAAAGAGCTTGCCGCTGCCATATCAGACAATCATTTGTCTGGGGGTACAGCTTGACTCCCTCAGCATGTGGGTGAAACTGTCATCTCCCATGCAGGAGGCGCTTTCGTCCCTCGTGCAGTGCATCGTCCTCCACACGACGGTGACAACACTGTCTGTGATGCACTTACTGGGTTCTATATGGGCAATGATTGTGCCTCCTTCTCAGACAAGGCCTGTTGCAGGAGCGTTGTACTTGGGCTGCTATTGAGGGATATGAAGTTGAGCCGCAATGTTGCTTATAATGCTCTTGGGTGGCAATGAGCCAGCGGGGCATTGACTACATCCAGCTGTGCTTTTATCCCATTAGTGACAGCTCTTAGAGGACGAAGCTCATATGAAATAGAACGATGGTTACGTACAGTAACCCAAGTTTCTATTAGAACTGACATAGCCCCTCTAAGTTTGCAGCTCGGCAGACAGTGGACCTGAGTGGGGTCAGCCCAGTACAGGGCACAGGGTGTGAAAGGAATCTCTTCAGGACTGCACATGCGTGAGGGATAAACCCAATAGCAGCAGCTCTTAGAGACCTACACCTATACTCATAGAAGCTTGGGCTACTGTACGTAACCGTCATTATTATGACATACTGTGCTTTTTTGCTATAAGGACATACTATAGGAGATTTTGACATTATAACAATATATTGTATTCTATCATAATAAGGGGACCCCTGCACAACTTGGAGTGAGTGCAGCATGCACACTGACTTTGAGCAGCACCTCCATCGCTCATTCAGTTCAGATGGCTCTTTCTCATCAACATGCTCCCATACCAACCTTCCACACTCTGACCAATGTTGGTATGCTCCTCTAGGTCCTTAAGAATCTTTGATTTTGCACTTAAATCCATCCATCCATTTTCTATACTGCTCAGTCCCAAACAGGGTCACAGGGGGCTGGAGCCAAACCTAGCTGGCTGCGGGTGAGTGGCGGGGTACACCCTGGACAGGTTGCCAGTCCATCGCAGGCACTTAAATCCACGTACAACAATTGGTTCACAAAATAACACGACAGAAACTCATGATCTAAAAAAATACCATACACATGTCTCGATGATGTTACAGGCATTACTGACAGCAGGCAATGCTTACTCAGTCCAAGCTGCAAGGCTCACATTAAATGATATGATCCACTTGAGGGGTGTGTGATGTAATGTCATACTAGATAGCTAGATGCAGTGGTGTAAAACGAGCAAAATAATTCTGAAAATGTATGCACCCTGTGTTGAGGATTACATCTGTGGGCATCACTGATAAAGAGCCCATGGCATGTTATTCCTTGTGTTTTGACTTATCTACAATGTTACAATAGTGAATTATCACCTTAGACATGACTTAAACCTCAAAAATGAGGTTTACTGTATGTATGTTCTAGTACTTCTATGCAGAAGCAACCTGGTTTATACACTTCTTGCAAACTCAGCCTTTTTTTCTAACAAAATAGAGTATTACATGTTAGTTTAAGGATTTCCTTGAATGGGCATTATCTCCAGGCCGTGACCTTGCCTGACATCCACTGGTGCCCCCACCATGCCTGCACCGTGACCAGAGGATGCGGATAAAAAAATACAGGGCTTGAGGTTACTTCATGTCCAGGAGTGTTCCTGTACAGGGACTCGCTGCTTTACCTGACTGGGTCAGGCCTGTGAAGCCCCCAGCAGCAGTGAATGATCAGTAGCATGTTATATGTTGCTGGTTAATGAGTGGATTAACCCATGATGTTATTGTCAGTGCTACCCTACCTGTTGGAATTAATTTCACTACTTTGGGACTTTGTGGGAGAAGATGCAGCAACCATTGGTTTGATTTACTGATCTTGGAGCTATTTAAAAGTGTTTCTACTACTGAGTGGGACTTAAGGATAAGTAAAAAAAAAAAAAAAACACATTGCATGTTTGTTATTGTGTTTCTGTGACATTAGAGAGAATTGTTGTAAGGATGGAGAATTTACTATATCTGCATTATGCCAGTTAAAATGTGGGGTTTCTCAACTACCTGCTTTATGTAGAGTGCTACAAATCTCCTTTCATTGGTACATATACCCTTGCTTACCTATCTATGGAGGAGAAATTCAAATCAATTAATGCCATCGCGGTTCGTTGTGCTATCCACTTTCAACACAACACAGGTAACAGGAGTTGTGCACGTTCATGAACTATCCTCTCATTTTTAGGAAGAGGCTTTCTGGTTTTATCATTCTGAAATAATTACAGACTATTTGGAGTTATGATGGGTGCAAAGCTAATCTAGAACTACCCAGCATTAAACATCAAATTGCTGGAAATGAGCATGCCATGGGCACTTTAAGCAGCATAGTCAGACTGAGAGCAGCCCCAACACTCCTCCCTATCCCGCATCAGTGACGTGCGGTCAGGGGAGGCAGGTGAGGCAGAGCCTCCCCTGTCAATCTTGAAAAGAAAAAAAAGTTAACCATAAAATATAATAAATGTTAGTATTTGTCGGCTGGTGTGTGTTGTAGGCCCTTTTGCCATTCGAATCCGATGTTGAAGGATTTTTTTTCAATAAAGAATAGCAGAATTTCCGTATGTCCCGTTCAAATACATGGAGGAGATGCGCGATGAGGCAGCACTTTGCTGTGCCTCTCGGTGGATCGTGTAATCCTCACAAACTGTATGCGATGCAAATAGTGTGTCGCTGTCCCTCTATATATCGCAAATAAAATGCTTTCAAACACTCTGATTATATGCTCTGCCTTGCCATAATCTGGATAATGTTGTGTGGCGACCTACGTCGGCTATTGGGGAGGGGTCTGGTGGCAGCGACATGATGCATGGGGGGCATCATGGGAGTTCAATGATGAGTTCAGAGAACAGTTGTTAAAGTGTGTTAAAATGTTCTAATGTGTTACCCTGTTGTGTTTATCTTGATGACTTGTATGTGTTAATGTTTTGCTAGCTGGTTGAGTGCTGTGTTGTTGAACCGTAAGTCTAAGCTGTATGTGTAAAACTGACCCTGTTGGGAATGTGATGTGTGGAGCGGTTCTGTGTTCTAAATAAATGACCAGAAAGACAGAGTTGCATGGTAGTCATTATGAAGGACACGCCCAAGTGCTACCCAGAGTCGTGCGGTGTATGGGACCTGGAGTAGGCACTAATTGACAGCATAGGTGCTAGCGCCCTGCTAGCTAGTTTAGCTGCTCAAAGTACAACCTCACCGCACATCACTGTCCCGCATATACTTGCCCATTGTGAGTCAACATCTGTAGTATGAGTGAGGCTGAATGAGAGAGCGCAACTGATTTGAGTGCTCATTCTTTTTAAACTTCACCCAGTAAATAAGGTCAGGGGTTTCTTTGTTTTTACAATTATTGAGTAAATGTTGTACTTTCTCTTGTAGATATTAATGAATTTATAAACACCCTAGAACCAAGGTCTGGACTACCTGGTGCTCAAAGTAGACAACAGAAACAAAGATGCTTGTGGTCACTACTTTGTGTCGTCAAACCCCCACTAAGACCCATGAATGAATGAATCCCAGTTTTTTAACCACAGTCTATGCAGTAAGTGGATAAGATGGATGAGATATGACATTCAACCTGAAGGGGGCGTCCGTACACCTTTGCAGCTTCTACACTGCCGTAGAAGAAGCTGCTTGTACCTCCTTGGTTGTGGTGAGGAAGTGAAATGTAAATTCGGTTTTAGGCTGATACCGTTAATTTTAATGTCTGCACATTAATCAACACTGTCCCTCAACATGTCCTCTAGAAACCCAGGGACCAAGTTCGGTAAGTATTTCTGCGTAATCTCGGACAGGATAGTTGTCACAGTGTCAATTCCTTATGAACACAGTTTAGCTGGGAATTTACCACAAGTTTTCGTTTTATTCGCACTATGTAATAAAAAAAATCATAAATACGTATGTGGGTTGCTTTGCACCAACCTCATAGTATAACTAACTACAAGTGCCAAGACAGCAAAGCTCAGCTAAGTTTTAACCCACTTCGGGACCGTCTCAAGTTGAAGTTGAGGGTAGCAGCAACTCCACACGGTTTTATAAGTCACGTTTTAGACGTGACTGCCCTGTTGAACATCAAAATGTTACGTTACTTTTAACCCATTATAAAACACACAACACCGGCATATTGTCATAAAAATGTTTTAGAAATACTGTCAAAAGAGGCCTTGTTGGTGAACGTTACAAATAAAATATAGCCTTACATTTTGCTCACCAACTTCATTATAACACATGTAGCATTTCCTTACCTATGATGCCATATGAGTTCATTCAGAACGAGTTATTGAGAATCCACGACACGTTTTTAAAATATTTTTAATATTTAATATTTTTCATTTCTTTGCATCATGTGTCAGAATTTCTGTGTTTATAGTTTTATTTGTGTACTAGGATAAATGCTGGCTGGAAACGTTAAATATCAGCCCCTCTACTCAGTACACCAGCTGTAAACCCTAATGTAAGAATTTAATATTCCTGTTTGCCCCTGACTTTCTTAGAGTTGTGTGAAAATAAGTGTCATTCAGTGTTTGTGCATTCAACAAGAATATTTGGCATGATCTGGAGCATGATTAGCATAGCATGAAGACTGGAAGCAGGGGGGATGGGGGAATCCAAAGTGAAAGCAAATTCAATCTCAGCAACTCCAGTTTCCTCTATTTGCATGTTATATTTTGAACTTACTTTCTGTGTACACATAAGTTGTATATTTGTACTTTGGTTCAGTGGGTAGAGCAGTCGTCTCCCAGCCAGAGGTTCGAATCTCGGTGCCTGCAGTCCATGTGTCCAAGTGTCCTTGGCCAAGAAACTGAACCCTAAGTTGCCCCGATGGTTAGAGCCATCGGTTGAGTTGGTGCTGCAGATGGCTGCCTCGGTTCTGTACCGGAAGCAAATTCCTTGTGTGTAACATACTTGGCCAATAAAGGTGATCATCCTTATCTTTATTGTCCTTTGTGTGAAGCTACGGTGAATAACCTGCTGAGGCATGTCTATGTGGATGCACCAAGATAAGACTTTTCTCATCTGACATTTCCCACAATGTTGGACAGCTCTTTCAAAAAGATACTTACTGCAAAATACTTTTTTATTGAAAATGGGGTTAATGGAAAATTCAAAGTTGTTGTAAATGTTGTTACTGAAACTTTTACACTCTAAGACCCAGCAAGGCTTTCATTTAAAAATAGGGGGAAAAACTGTTAAATGTAAACACACTAACACATACTTTTTCCGAAATGCCTCACTCATGGGCATTAGATCTGCACTGGATATCCAGCGTGAAAGTGAACACACAGGCTGTCCTGAAGAGAGCGCAGCAGATCCAGGGACGGAAGATCCCCAAGAAACAATGGCAGGTAGAGCTCACCATAACATAAGTGTCTTAATATTTCTGTTCTGCACCCAAAAAGAAAGCTCATAAACTGAAAATTGTGGGCAATATAGTGGTTGATATGAATAAAAACTTACGTTGAAGTTAGGAGTGTAATGGTTCAGATCTGAAAACTGCGACACAAACATTCACAGCCTGGGTTTGTGTTTCAGCGTGCTAGTGTGTCCAGTCTGTTTTATAATCATTTTGAGAATGTAGCTGCTTTGTTACTGTAGCTGTGGACTAGTTTTTCTTGACAAAGTACAGCAATAAAATCATCACAGAATCTGTAATTGAATTGAGTAAATGACAGGTTATGTTAGTTAATAAATGTAATTTATGGGCAGTACAGTTAAGTTTTATTTATACAGTGCTAAATCACAACAAAAATCCCTTCTTTAATTGAAGAATCCTCTGACAGACTCCGTGCCATGACCAGTTGGGGTGAGTGGATAGAAGAAAGAGAAAAGAAAAGAAGAGCAACAAGATACAACAAACAAACATTGGGCAGGTTGATGTGGCTGGTGACTGCTTATCAGAAATGTACAGCTCCAGAGCCAGGGCTACCTACAGAAAGGCACAGGGAGAGAGAGAGACAGCGCACTATGGGAACTACTATGGCATCTGCTTTTGTCTAAACAGAGATGAACAAAGTGAAAAATATAATGAAAAAGCAAAGCAGAATGGTCTGTGTCAACTCGTGTGGTAATGCGAAGTAGCAGCTAACTCAAGCCTGGGGTGTACCACTCGTTAGGTTCTGACAGTGAAAACGCAGCTTATGACGATCAGATGATCATTTTAAATTGTCTGGCACTATATTTCACTTTGTCACCCTGAACTTACAAATAAACTGAAAACAGATGTCACACCAATGTCTACACGACTTGTTTGACAAAGCATCTGTGAGAATTACCTCTGGAGATGGACACAATCTGTTTGCTGTGTTGTTACTTGCCATTTCTGTGTGTTTGTCATGCAGGCTGCCTGGCTACTGAAGGCTGTAACATGTATTGACCTTACAACCTTGGCTGGAGATGATACATCATCCAACGTCCATCGGCTTTGTCTGAAAGCCATCCAGCCAATCCAGCATGACCTTCTCGAGAAGATGGATATGCATAACAAAGGTCTGCTTGTGTTAGAAAAACCACATATAGACCAGGGTTTAGACATTGCAGCTGGATTCGTAAGCCTTGTCTACAATGCAAGAATCTCAGCGGCGATACTGAGAAGTGCACGTAATGCATCATGCAAGCAATATACTCCTATTTATCAATCCAGGTGTCAGCTCACATATCACCCAACTTTGAAGTGTATTTTTATCAGAATCAGAATCTGTTTTATTGACCAGGTGTGTTGGACACACAAGGAATTCGACTCTGGTACATCAGCTCTCAATGTGTATATACATATTCCCATGCAAGGGGCAAGTAAACAGTAAACCAACATAAGGCTGTATAATATAACAAAATAAGCAGTATTAAGAGCAACAAACAGTGCAAACAATGCAAAATAAGCAGTATAAACAGGCAGTAAACAATGCAGACAGACAAAGGAATTCTCATTGTGAAATGAGATAAATAGTAATAAAAATGGAGTACTTGAAAAAGAGACCTGTATGGATCTGTATAATCTGTACAATGTATATTACCAGTATTGCACTGAGGGTTATTGTCCAGTCATACTGTCGTGGGTCAAGTGTTCATCAGAGTGACAGCCTGGGGGAAGAAACTGTCCCTGTGCCTGGTTGTCTTGGGGTACAGTGACCTGTAACGCCGTCCAGAGGGGAGGGGTTCAAACAGATTATGTCCAGGGTGTGAGGGGTCTGCAGTGAAGTTTCTTCCTGAAGTCCACTGTCATCTCCACTGTTTTGAGCCCGTTCAGCTCCAGGTTGTTGCGGCACCAATGACCGTTGTACCATCTGCAACTTTAGGAGCTTGACAGAGGGGTCCTTCGAGACGCACTTGTTGGTGTAGAGTGAAGACGGCAGAGGGGAGA